ATCCAATTTAATATTTTGGCAAAAACAAGCAACAGCAGTTTCAGTATGTAATATTGGACGAAGATGAGCCACGTTTCGAAAAGCGTTAGTAGTAGGCTATCAAGTGAACTGCCACAATCTTTGCTTACATTTAAAATATAAGTTATGGTCAATATAAGTTTGTTTCATACAAACGCATTTATTTAAGCTATAAAAGTGTGGCGTTCGTGCATACTGTAAGGTAAACAGTTATTATTTTGTCCTGTTTCCATGTAGTAATATACGTCATATAAATAGGGTATATAAATAGGGCCTTTGTACGACTATCTGGGTATATTAACTATCTTAACACACGTCACCATGCGATCTAACCTCGCAGACAAATTAATCCAGTTTTTAAATTTCAGCTCAGCAGCTACACGTCATTTTTAGATTAGTTCAAATCTATGTTTTACTATGAATTGCCTTTCTGAAAAATCGTTAAATAAGGAAATGAACTAGAATCCAAGTTGCAATATACAGAGTTGAATTATCATCGCCTTGAATCTATATAAAATTTGCTTGACTCCGCAGCTAATTAAGGCTGAGGGTTGATGATGTCTGGTTGTTTATTGATGTTTTATTGAGCAGGATTATTCAAGAAGGTAAACTCGCGTTCTTCAAATTAGAGAAGGGCTTGTGAAGCAGGTTTAGATAATGAGAAATTCAATTAAGAGGACTTTCTTCTCAAACACTCGAGTTAAAAAAAACCCTAAAGGTTGACTATATAAACATGCCTCTTCGTGTTTTGATTTCATCTTATGTGTTTTTGATTAACAGCTATACCAGCCAGACTGAATAAATCTGATCAGACTCGCTAATAAGATTTACCATTCGGACAACATCGTATTTGAGTTGGTGAACGTGGCTTATTAAAGGATCCGCACCCTACTTTAATTTGACGTGTTCCACATCACGGATTATAACGGGAAATAAAACAAACCTAAACTCTTTTTCTAAATCAAAACACATCTTGTATTTCCAATTATTGAATTTGACGCAATTTTGCGTAAGCTTTACCTTATTGAGTTACGTTTATAAAATCTACTCTGAAAGTTGTAACGCCATATTATATTTCAAATTACGAATTTGTGCCGTCTATTGTTTCGCACTTTTTAATCTGCATGCGTCAACTCGTATACACAGTTTGTACTTATCCCATGAACACACCATATGCACTTTACTTCGATCAATTCCCTGATATAACATTCCGCGAAATAAAATATCCCATTCTCATTCATGTTATTAATCATTGTTGTGATTAGTACGTACATCACGGTGGTGATGACAGTTCCCAGAATTCCCCAATGACAACTAGCTATCTATGTAATATGATTGGCTATCTCACTAGAGCAGACGTTATATTACTTATTAGTTTGTGGATAACCCCGGTCTGTCCAGTGTAATAGGCAGTGTTGCTTAGCTAATTTATCAGACTGTTCGTTTGTCTGCAGTATAAGAGAACGTATTAAGTTAGGTTATTATTAAATCTAGACCATATATACGGATAATAAGCACGCATCGGTGGTCTATATAAACCTCCTTAATCATATTTATACATCGTATAAATGTCATCGATAATTTATCAAATTAATTGAAGTATGTGACCGCTAACTCTAATCACATTGCGGATTCTTTATCATTTAATCATGTCCAGTTTGGCCCCCATAGCTGCAAGTTGCGATATGCTGCGTGCGACCATGCATAGATTTGTTTAATCTTATTAAACATCCAATATTACTTCTCCAGCTTTGCCCCCTATAGCTGCTTGTTGTGACATGACGTGTACGACCATAGATTTGCTTAATCTATTTAAATCACCCAATATTACTTCCCCAGCTTTGCCCCCAATAGCTGCTAGTTGTGAAATGACGTGTGCTACCATAGACTTGTTTAATCTATTTAAATCACCCAATATTACTTCGCATTTCTTGAATGTGCAAGAGTTTGGTTGTACTTTATTAGATTATTAATGTATAGTAGAGGACACAGAAGGGGTTGCTCCACAAAGGGGTTCCCATAAAGCAATTGAAGAATGACCTTATGAACATTGACATTACGGTTAGAATTTTATATCGCAAACTATGCCTTTATATACGCATGTACCCTTTAAGTAAACCGACTGGCTATGGCTGGAATTCAGAGGCAAAGATAAGCCATCTTCGCATAAACAGGTGGGATCCTCCAAGTTGAAAGGTCAAAGTAGAATTGCCGTAGATCGGGATGATAATTCTACATAAAAAGTCTAAATATGCACGAACACAAAAATTCATCACGAAAACAAATACTTTATAACTATTCCGTTTTGTTTTTCAATTTGATAACCTCATTGAACGAATTCATATTTATCATGCAGGGTTCTTAATCCATTTTGAAACGAACCGGCCACTATTGGGTCAAATGAGGTCCCGGTAGGACGTGGGTTTTAAAATTATAAACTTCCATTCCGTTTAATGTAACCAGACTTCGACAAAATAGCTCTGCCATATAGCTTTCAATAATAATAACGTCAATATTATTAAAATTAAGCCTCTGTCAGCATGTTCATGAAATAAAAAATCATAATGGTAAACGCTATCTAAAACTAAAACTAGCATCGCTGGTTTATTGACATAACTCCAACCGACGTCACGTGTCATCGGGGGATTCGGCATTGGAGATTCTGTCGGAAAAATAGATTATTAATGGCTGTTTCTAGGTGTATTCGGTGTTCTATTGGAGGATTATATTCAACTAAGATTTAAATGTAACTAACAACTGGTCAGCGAAACCCTTAAATTTATGATCCAATTATTCTCTACCGGTACCTGGAATTCATACGGTTCGTCGAAGACGCGCGATTCCCGAGCGAGGTGCACAATCTATGCCGAGATCGTCTTCCTGGGTTCCTTCCATCGCAACGTGGCTATTCACAAAGGCAACTTACTGGACCTGTTATGAATAATTGCAAGCTTGTTTTGGGTTGTTTTTTTTACCGAATTATCAATATTACCGTTACATGTGCTAATTACTCGGATTATGAACCAATGGCCGATTCTCACTAAGGTATAACTGTTATTGTAGCCGACAAGCCAGTTGATTGGCTACTTAATCCCGTCTTCATTAGCCCAGTTCGGAGCAAAACAGTAGGACGTTAAACCCCATTTCATTTCTTTTCATTTCAGCCACTTATCAACAAGTAATAATTAACCCGAAAGTAGATTGATTTATTATACCCGGTTCATTGTTTTACCAATCGGCTTGCTTGAACTTCAAGCGGCTAAAGCCGACAAAAACCGCCAATTTGAAATTTAATTAGCCATAGATAAATCGAATTAAAAACTCTTCGGGTTAATGTGTGCGCGTTGGGTCATAACGCCTGCCATTGTGTCAAGTGGCGTGATTTCGACTCCCCGCTTGTACGTGACAAGGAGTGGGTTTTCTCTGGGTCCTCCGGTTTCCCCCACTGCTAAAGACCCCCTACGCGCAAGCGAATTATTGAAATAAAATTGAACCATATTATGTTAGCCCCGAAATGACCTAGTTTGTGTCGGATGGACATGAAACCACATTCTCTCTCTGTATAGCATGATGGGAATGACACTTGCTTACTAACTCGTTCGTTCCTGATGTAGGTAGAAAAATGTCCTCGATCTCTCGGGATCTGGTCATGGGCGAAGGGCCTGAACTGAAAAGTGTATTGTCGTTCGGTGTATGCCATTGTGTATTCCCTCATATAACGCACTGAATAGCGTATTTCCCTCGTGCAAAATTGGACAAATACGCACAATCACCCTTATTAAAGTTAAAAAGAAATCGAAGCTTAATGCGTGATAATAAATGTTCAAACTCCCACTTATCCTAAGCCGTTAAAATAAATAAATGATATAAAGGACTTTCTGAAAGCTAATATCTGAACGAACATAATAGTATTTTGACAAGCATTATATACGATTTAACGATCATTTAACACAATAAACGTGATAATAAAGTTCCTGGTACATCATTAGCTTCGCACTGGGCATGTTTTTTTTTTATAAATATCAAATAACATCGTGATGCTGTGAACAACAATTGTTGTAGAAAAGAGCATTTAGTAGATAAATATACCATATAAATGGCACAATGAGTGCAATTTATTGTGATTATCGGTTACCCTATCGTTATTAATACCATATTATTTTTAAATAATGATATGAATAAATTTTGTTAAGTCAGAATAGTGCATTTGATAATATGCATTGTACTAGTGGACTTGGTGCACCCATATTTAATTCATAACGGTTTAATTTGTGCTTCATGACCTTAGTCGAAATCCAGGTCACCCCGAAAACCCTCATACATTTTGTGTTTAAGACTTGATCCTTTATCATGGATGTAAAGATGCTAAAGTTTCAACTAAAGTATACGTTTAACTTTCCTGAAAGCTTTCCAGATCTTTCGAAAGACCATGCACTTTCTTACATTTTGTCCCCTTAAATACCAACTTACCTGTGCTCTATTTTCCTTGTTTTTCATTTTGTTTTTAATTTGTTTCTATGGTATTGATTTAAATTTGTTTGAACCCTTGCACCAAGGTTTTTGAGAGACTTCCAGTTTTATTATGTATTAAGTCACAATTTTGAATCATATTTATAAGACCTACGAGTATTTCCTTGTTTGATCACAGACACGTTTTTTATGGTTACCCCCCCCCCCCCCCAAACCCAACCAATGTATATGTAAGACATATTTGATGCATCTTGGATAAGATTTCTGCAATGTTTATTATTGACATGGTGTTACATTACGGCTGCATTGGTTTAGATAAAAGTTTGATTTACGGAAACATTAACGTTTACGTTTTGGTAGGAAATCGTTGATTCACAGTTATTTGGCCATCAAGAAGATTCTGGATGGCGTGGTGTTTCATTAACATTGTACATTGTATATATCGAGTTACTTTAAAATATATCATTAACTTTGTTTTCTGGTCATTTCAATTTTCAATTTTTGTATTTCAGGATGGACAGTATTATTGGCTCGGTAGGGAGAGTAGCCAATGTCAAGGTTCGTAACGACGATGACTTGGTGGACCGTTTGAATCATCTATACACGACTGGTATACTTATAATATTCACAGTGGTGGTTAGCGCTCGGCAATATGTTGGTGACCCTATACGATGTTGGTGCCCAGCCCAATTTACAGGAGCACACGTGGACTACACTAACAATATATGTTGGATCTCTAATACATACTATATACAGTTCCAAAATCAGATTCCCGTCGAACATTCATTTCGCAAAGAGCGAGAGTTGACTTATTATCAATGGGTGCCGGTAGTGCTTCTGATTCAAGCCTTGATGTTTTATCTTCCTTGTATAATTTGGAGATTACTAAATGGTCAATCTGGAATCAACGTAGACAGAATTGTCAGCCTGGCTTCAGACGCACAGTACGAAAGTCCGGAAGTTCGGATGAGGACCATAAAGTATGTCGTTCGCCATATTGATCGTTGCCTTGACAACCAACGGGAAAGCAGACATTCTTGCTGTGTTAAATTACGTCATATCCTGTCAGCTAAGCTGTCGTTATTATGCGGAAAGCGTTATGGGAATTATCTTGTAGCTGTGTATTTATTAATGAAAGTTCTTTATATATCGAACGCAGTGGGACAACTATTTATGCTTAACGCCTTTCTAGGAACGGAATACAATGTTTATGGCTTCCAAATTTTGGAAGACCTGATCGAGGGAACGGATTGGACAGCATCACATCGTTTTCCACGAGTTACATTATGTGATTTTGATATACGACAATTAGCCAATGTACAGCGACATACTGTTCAATGTGTGCTACCTATTAATTTATTTAATGAAAAAATTTACATTTTTATGTGGTTTTGGTTTGTGTTTGCTGCCGTTATGACCTGTTATTCCTTTGTCGTATGGTTATGGCACATGGTGTTCCCAACTTCAAGGATGCAATATGTGAAAAAATTCCTTAAAATAATGGACAGGTTAGGTTCTGGACCAGACAAAAAATTAGCCAGTCGTTTTGCGTTAGAATATTTACGTCATGATGGAGTATTTACGTTAAGACTTATAGGTAAAAATTCCAGTGATATAGTCGTAGCAGAAATTATATCGGGCTTATGGGATATATATCGCGGGAAAAAGTCCATACAGATTCGGAACACATCCATTAACAACGGACACGAGGAGGTTGAAGATGTCTAGTCAAGTTTTGGCCATATTAGGATCTTAAAACTTCTGACATATGGGAACGAGTGTGACCATGTAATGCGAATAGGCGATTAGTTGCTTCTTCGGCCAGTCCAAAACGAATGGTCTGCTGTATGTGTCAAGGGTCGTCCTTCGCATTTTACGAGTAGACAGAGTTTCCCCTCAGATGGGTTACACGTGAATTACGTTCCTTGAGGAAAATGGCACGATCAGTTCCCCGGAAAAGTCCCTTAAGCATTACGGAGCTATCCGATCTCTTCCGAATCATTCCGAAGATACGTTCCTAGCCTGTGAAAGACGTTGTGAGTCTTAAGGCTTGTCGCGACGCTAACGAATGAATATTGACTGATCTATGTTGATTGTATGATTATTATTTGAAGAGCACCGATGGTGAACGAAGATGACATAGAGTGTCCATTATTAGTATTGTGGCCACAGGCAACAGTAAGCATGCATATCAAATCTTACAGAGATGCGTGTCATAGACATGAAACCAATAATATGGACATACTACAGTGTTGTACGAATAGTCTGCTTTCTATTTAGGCATGGTCCTAATTCTTTATACACACAAATTGTTTTAAATCTACAAATGCACAAAACAACTGAACTTAACTCAAACGGAACATTAACCATCGAGGAGTTAAAGATTCGTCAAATTACTAATCCTCATTTTCTTTCACAGTTCCTTTGAAATACTTCTCCAAATGTTAATAACACGCCCTCCTTCTTAAATTAGGTTTTGGGATTTTTTGCGCACATTTTGAGGTCGTTTACCTTTACCTTTAGGTCTATCTGTGATCTGTATCGCTATATCTTATAAAACAATAAACACTGTTGTTGCCCATAACGACGATATTCCCATTACACATTTTGGTTTCCATATTTTTGTAGAGAATGAGACTTACGTCACATATTTTGAGATACTATATTTGAAGAAACGTGCAAATCAACAGTTTATTGATTGACACGCTTACTTTAAAATCAACATTTCAGTGATGGTCATGACATGTCTGTAGGGAAAAAAGTCAGGTTAAAAAGAAAATGACGTATTTAAGAATAATTACTGTATGCAAAAAAAAATATTTTCCAATAGTCCTTATATGCCAATAAAATAAACCCAGCACAGTGTGTTTAATTCAATTTCTGAAATTATTTGAAAAATGCCAAACAAACAAAACAGTGCTTCCAATTACAAATTTGTGTAGCGATTTAGATGACATCAGAGTCAAATCAAATTATGACATTAGAGTTATTTAATTTGTAGAATAGCGATAGTTGGAACCATTCGGTTAATTCTTTTTATCACAATGGTGAGTCCTGATTGTGAAATATTAAAACGGAATGCCGATCACACAATAATAGTAAATAACCTATATATGCCTACTTATTACCATCCATGGCCATTTCAAGAACGAAAATGACTATAAATTAGCCGAGAATAGAGGATTCGCTTCCTGTGATATCATCTTAGGTGAAAGCGGACGTAAAGCCCCACGAACTAACGGATTCGCTTTGAAGAGAACCTAAAAGAATTAACTGGGTGTTCCGAATGATTATATAGATTTACTTTATAATTTATAGATTTAATATATGATTTATAGATAAGGTTTAGTTTATGATTGATAGATAATAAGGTTTAGTTTATGATTGATAGATAATAAGGTTTAGTGTATCATTTATGAATAATAATATTTAATGTATGATTTATAGATGATAAGATAACGTAGCATACATCCATATCTCTAGATTTTAGTTTCAATAATGTCATATAATATGATATTTATTTTATTTATTTTATCATGTCTCGTGCAATATGTGATTCATTGTGATTAAAGATTTGTTTTTATAAAGACAATAGATAGGCTAGTTTTGTATTTATCATAACTTTATTATATATACATAATGGTGATACTATAGTTAATTTCGAGGATGTGTTTGATCCTCATTGTTAACCTAGAACAAGTTCTCGAATGACCAGACTTATAGACTTCATTAACCAGCATACTGGCTTTATCTGTCTAATACCTCAAGCTTATTAATGTGCTAATGCCTACATTCTTAGTGGCACTTGGGCGGATGAATTACGAAAAGAGTAGTTCGATGACAATCGTGGAAATAATACTCTTCGGTGTATGGGATTAACGTAATGCTCCACTTGTCGCAAAATTCTAGCACACAAACTAACGTATTTTAAAACTTCCTAATCAGCACGGCGCACCTTATCATTGTTCACCATGCATGCAGAGTTACTTTGCTTTATAAAAAGAAACACACCTGTGTGAGAAAAACGATGATATAACCTTAATCTAGTAAAACTACCATTAATCACCAGTGCTATCAATTTCACCTCATAATATGATGGTTAATACATAAGATACTGTAGGTAATAGGCTTATTTAGAAAATTCCACAGACTCTTGTCTGTTAAACTAACTTCTGGCGTCGATTTTATAATAGTACATGTAGTTCAATCGAGTATATTACTTCCAATTATCCGAATGTTACATAATATATATGTATATCAATTTCTGCTCATGATATTCTGGTTGTGTCATAACATACTGTAATAAGGCAATTATACAGTCAATAGTTCTACTCTCTTATTTTGAAAATTGAATATGTTAAATGACCTGGATTGTTGTGACTACTACCGATATAGATATAGTTTTCCATTTGCTACTGTTCCAACTGTATCACTACTTACCGGAAGTACACAGAAATTTTCTAGTCTTTATTCACTGCTCATCGCACTGGAAGTACTTGAGAAATCTTAGGCTGCTTAAAATATGTGGTTTTCAGAATGAGAGAGTGATGTTTTTTAAACAGTTCTATAGACTTATATATGCTAAAACTATTTATTTTATTTAATATTTATAATCTTAGGATGTTGAAGTTGAAATCAACGTCATTATTTAAGTAATTTAGAATCTACGTTATGTTTTAGAGTGTTTATTCCTAGTTATTTTGTTAGCCTTAACCAAAGGATTGCATCATATCGGGTGTAACGTATATATATAAAACAGTCTCAAGGAGTTATCTCCCGTGTTGTTTCAAGTTTTTCATTTGATAAGAATGTATATATAATATATACATCTTACCTTGTGTGGTTCTAAAATATACTAAACGATGGTTTTTAAAAAAAAGTGCCTTTATCCGAGAACTAACAACGACCTATGCACATACCATGATGGCGTTTAAGAGGGATCCTTCAATTTATTCCGACAGAAAGCCTCAATTGGATGTCATATAACATGGTCGCTTGTCCATTCAAAAAGTCTGCTGGCCATCCTAATTGTGTTGCATAATTTCTATGCAATTTGTCAGAAATATCACCAAACATTTTTTTATTACTGTGATACCATTATAATGTCTTTTGTTTTATAAATCGTGCAATTAATTTGAAATGATCTTTAAGTTTTTAACGAGCGTGAGGGATACTGCTAGTCAAGTTTATTTATTTATTTGTTTAAGTTTGAAAATAGTAGTTATTATTTAAGTAGCTAGCTAGTCAGTGTTACTTTAATTTATATCATTACTTATTTCTTTACAAACGTTTTTAGAATTCTTTCTCCTTCAAATAGCAAAAATTCAGGAAACACACAGAGAAAAAGTGTAGAACTTGTATATCATTTTCCATTATAGCTTTGTTTTTATTCGTTAAGTCAAATTAAGTACTTTGCGAAGCTATTTGTTAAACGTTAAAAGAGAAATCCTCGGCTATTTACGTACTTGAGGTAAGAACCTCTGAATAAAACGCACTTTGTTATTTGCCCTTATTACTCCGCGTAAGAAAAGAAATCCAATAAATGGTTCAGCACAAAATCATACGCCAACGGAATCCCCTCCATTCAATAGTTTTCAGTTTGTCGCTTTAACGCCACTTTACCATAGAGATTTGAACGAGACAACGGTGATTTTGTTTTTTTCATTGAAAATAGTTTTCGATTTTTTTTACATGTATACATGTATAAAGAATATAAAGCGATTCTGTTTAAAGGAGAAAGAGTTTTATTAGAACTTTGGTGTGGTTATTTTCATAATATATAAACTTTTACCAATCATAAACTATTTATAATAACATACTATTTCAAAACATATGTACAGTCTGTTTGTTATTTTGTCATTTTGTAATTTAAAACCTGGGATTTTGAATCCTGATGATCGAGTGTTGTTTCTTTTTTTCTTTTTCATTTTTCATTTTAACATTGAAAAATATTATTAAATAATGTTTACAATATAAGTTAAACCCGTCTTGTTATTTATGCCATCTTCACAGTGTCAAGGGGAAGGGCACGCGACTTCATTGTACGTTTGGTGTTTCTTTAGTGCTCACTTGGGGGTTGAATGGCCGAATGGTTAGCCATTGAGTCAACTGGTGTGGTTTCGATTCCGTGGATTTTCTCCGGGTCCTCCGGTTTCCTCCCACTGCTAAAGACCCGTGCACGAAAGTGAATTATTGAAATAAAATTGAACCATATGTTAGTCCCGAAATGACCTAGGTTGGCCACAATATGTGATAAGATTGATAGGATCACCACGATTGCTCCGCGATTAAAACAATGATTTCAATCGTAGCACGAATCGTAATAGTGGGAACCTAGCATTAAGCACTGGAGGTATAGCGTTCGCTCACAGTCTTGGCCGAGAAAGTTCCTCGCGATTGTCCGGGCTTGTTTTCGCCTTGTCAGAGGTACAGGACGGTGGGTCTGATAAGGAATTGAAAGGATAGAACGAAGAAAACGATGTCTGGTGTAGACCTTTGCATGCACGTTTAAGAACCTTTGCTTTCATTTACCCAGTCACTGCAGAAAAGTAGGACGTTACATCACAATTCATCCATTCACTCCAATGAATGATTCTGTCCAACTAAGCCATCAACCCCTGTTTGGTATTCTCTATGAGTCATTGGCATTTTTCGCTAAAATATCACGCTAATATGTGATTGGTTATTTAATAGTTAATACCAACTCTAGATAATGTCCCGGCATGGATTCAATCGGATTTAAAACGGGTCTATCCATATATTACACAGCGAACAGCATAGTTCGATGAAATTTCAATTCCACATATCTTTGTAAATACTGAACGGAATGGAACCATATCTAGACTGATATTCCTATTACAGATTAGTTTTTCAGAATATTGTGATTTTATCGAGGTTTTAAACACAAAAAATAGAACAACAGTACATAATTAAAACAGAAATCATAGAACAACAGTACATAATTAAAACATATACAACAGTACATAATGAAAACACAAGACATAATATACCAACAGTACATACTTAAACACAACAGAACATATTTAAAAATTAAACTGTACATTTCAAAAGAAATAATACCAAATACACAAGATAAAAAAATCAAATCTTGAATGCGAAACTGAATCAATCTTTTGACTACTTGATAGATTTTGAAGTCTTGTTTCTAGATCATAGCAATGATGGCTTCCATCTCTTACACAATATTAATCGTGTGTTTAGGAAAACAAAACGACGACTAGCATAGAATCTTCAGCGATTTATAGTGAATAAATACACCTGAAAAAATGGTTGACTGTAACATTTGCCTATTTAAGATACAGTGTTATAGAGCCATAAAGTAAATAGCCCGAATGACATGGTAAAGCCGCGTGTCTTAAAGTTGTCAACACAATTTTGCTGACAGTGGGCAAAGAAATGCATTTATAAGAAAATCTGCTGAGTAAGGATTAATGTGCCTCCGACTAAGATTATTTTATATGTGTCAAGTTAAGTATGCACTTTGCTGCAAAAACCAGATTTGGAACTTAATTTAATGTACACACGAATATGGTTTATAAATCAAGTTAAAGGGTTAACACAATTTCCCATGGATGGGCTTTAATATCAATAAAATATCTTTGAAATACAGATGTGACGTCATCCTTTGATGTTGGCGCATCATTATTTCAAATACTGGTACGGGCAATGTGCTAATCGTACATTATTTTAGACTAAATGAAATATGGGACTAGCGTGATGATTTCAATGAAATGCACGTGCGGTTTAGTGTCTGTATTTTAAGTTGTTTAAAGATACATTATGGGAGATTCGATAACGAGTTAGCAGTTCTAGCTATAATAGTTAAAAACTAGATAATGTAAAGGCAATTTGCTGAAAATTTCATTCAAATTGATCGACTATGAACCAAGAACTAAGCGAATGAAATTTCTGCCTAGCCTCGGTCATCATTACTAAAGTTAGTACGATAAACAGCATAGTCTCGATTACCCAATTAATCGTTTAATCGAGAAGGAAAGTTATGCAGTAAATCGGCTCACAATCCACTTAAGAACGCAGGCTAGCTATGCCATCTAGAGTTGATTATGGTCTGGATAAGTTAATTAATGTCTAATTAATAATTTAGATAACATTTCAGGCCTTAAGAAAGACCTGCAATAGACAGATTTACCTCTTGCATAATGTATGTTTAATAGTCTCTAGTAAGAGATTGCGTAATATATTGATATAGGCCACGGCATAATGTTCTCGTGCATTTTCAATAATTGCTTAAAGAGGCCAAACCTCTAACTCAATAGTATCCATGATATTGGAAATTGAATTAGAATTCACAATTGGTCCATTTCAATCAATATTGATGTGATCCTAATATCCAATATTTAAGACACATCGAAGATTTTATAATCACTACACGACTCGTGTTTTCTATAGACATAATGGTCTTGAGCGTCATTTGTAATGACAAAAGAAAAACATATCCCATAGGACAATGCAAAAGTAATTAAAAATGGCTGATTCACAAAAGGAAAAAAAAACAAAAAAAAAACACCCCAAAAACTCGTGTGGAATTGACTAGCCAGCAAAAATGACTTCCGTTCAATTTGAACTGTTCACTTATATCTCAACGAACATAACTGAATATAAAGTACAATAAAAAATTTAAAAATTGAATATAAATCACTTTATACAGTTCATCGAGATTTTCCGACGTGGTTTCGCCTGGTGCACGACGGAGGGTCCTGACAAGGCCAGCTGTCTAGTCTTTAGGAAAGGACGAAATCCCGAGGTCCCGTGTACACATTGGCGTACACGTAAAAGATCCCCTGGCAGTTGGAATTCGATATAAGAGTAGGCCGTAGCGCCGCTGCCCGGGCAAAATTTCCCTCATAGCACACTGTATGGCGTATGCCCGTCTTCATTAGCCCAGGTTAGGAGCAGAACAGTAGGACGTTAAACTCCATTTCATTTCATTTCATTTCAAACGGTGACGGCATATTCATATCGGGAGAGTATGCGCAATAAATATTATGTAGACTAGAATAACCGGATGCTAGAAATTTTGATTCGATTGAGACTTCAGACATATTTCGCCGAACGTAACCGATTTGAAATTAGAGTAAAAATGGAAACGATTGAATGTAAATCAGTTTATATATATTCCCATTACATTATTATATGCGTTTCGACCCATTTGTGTCAATTTCTATAGGTACCAAACATTAGCGATTTAGCTCCTTTAACCGTCAACACCGGGATCAAACACGGGACGTTTAGAATTTATTGTAGGTCTAGTCATTTATGTAGGTTCGTTCTCTTAATTCATGGGTATTCACTAAACTCTTTCAGAAAACGTTCATTTGAACACTCTGTCGATTCTGGACCAAAAAGTTAACATTTGGCATGCGAAAGGGGGAAAAGCAGGGGGTGTGGAGGGTTGGGGGGGGGGGGGCGATAAAAAATTGTTATATTCATACGGATTATAGTATAATAGTCTTATTCCGTACTTAAGCTTAACAATGTTCATATATTTAAAGACACCGAATAGACAATAAGAAATGGTAAAACAATACTACAGAGATATTAGTAACCATTCTAGTCTTTCAATTTCTTTAGTAAGCAAGTTAATTGGTCTGTGTTTCATCAACTTTTACCTTCATTAATTTTAAATACACCCAATACAACCATTAAATTACAGTAATAAAGGTAATATATAGAATAAATCGTTTCGTTGCATTTATTCAATAACGTTATAATTTTAAAGTATGTCATCATTACCCGAATTAAGAGTAACCTTACCTTTCCTGAGATGTTATTTCTCTACAACAGTTATATATGTACCCAATACCCGATTACAATTGGAAAGACTGAACTAACTACTGGAATAGAGAAAGCCGCAAAGCATTTTAACACCCCACTAAAGTACCGGGTGTTCACATACAGTATATGGCTCGCTGTGCCTTTTCTCTTTCTTTGTGTTGCGCTGAGATTGGAATAAATTGCAATTTTTTAAAATTATTTGTTAAACATTGCCGATAATAACCAAATTTAGAAAGATCAACTTACAAGAATGTTTAATGCTGTAACACGTTTTATAAAATGATGTATCAGACATATTCATTTTCGTCCGGATATTCCGCGAACATTTTTTATGTCTCCTGCTGTGATGAAATCCGGTAACGACCAGTCGCTGCAAACAAGGAACGTGAGATGCACAAAGTGAAAAAAATATCAGCGAATGTTTGTCCGGAAAACAAACCAAACACTGCTGAATCGTCAAGCTTGATAGGCATCCCATTTGGAAAATTGTCTGTCGTTTTTCATTTCCTTTGGATCGGATGATGTGAGTTAATGAATTTCTAGTTTCTTATCGTAATGAGTTAGAAACTGTAAATAGAAACTTAGCAAGCGTGAATTATATAACATTTAGAATAACCACCTACTGTTATTAATACAAGATTGTTATTCAGCTATCTCTTTACTCCTGCAGTTTATTACATATGAATTAGGAATTAGACATTTTATTTATATATAGAGCTACAAAAACAAATAAAACCCCTAACAGACTATTACGAGAATATCTTTATTTATAGTCTAACTGAAATGTAAACAATTGCATTGACAAATTTGCACTTTAATTTGAAGAAAAATTAAAATCTTTGTGGCAGGGCATGGCACACAACCTTTATTGTTCAGAGAGAGAGAGAGAGAGAGGAGGGGGGGGGGTAACGTCCACTCGACACAAACTAGGTCTTTTCGGGACTAACATACTGTTCAAATTTAATTCAATAATTCGGTTGCGCGTAGGAGTCTTTAGCAGTGGGAGGAAACCGGAGGACCCGGAGAAACCCCACGAGGTTGTATAGGTGATCCTACTACTTGTCACCTACAAGCAGGGGAATCGAAGCCACGTCACTTGACTCACTGACAGACCTTGTGATCCAACGCGCAGGCATTAAACCATTCAACC